CCATGCTTGGAATGTCCTATGAGCCCTACCCTTCCCCCAGGGCCTCAATCATTCCCAGAAAACATCCATCTCCACCACATTTAATCCCATTTTCTCCATATTTTAGTATGGTTATTTTAATTTCTGCTTTCCTCTGGCTCTTACCTGGAATTTAAAAAAATGTTTGACTTATTCAGTACATTTTTTAAGGCACATACTCTGTGGTAAACATTTTCTGGCACAGTTTTTTTGGTTTTTTGTTTTCTCAACCTCTGAGAACCCTCAAGAGTATTTTATTCACAGAATGATGAAGATGAACACAGTTTTTAAGAACACATCTCTGAAGTCAGAAGGTCTGAGCTTGAATTCTAATTCCACCATTTCTTAAAATATGCAACTTTGACAAGTTATTTAAACCTTCTAACTCCCATTAGTGAAATTTCAGTGCCAGTACTTACAATACTTCATATGGTAGTTTTTAAGGTTAAATGAAGAAATTACATGTATTGCATACACCTGGCACATAGAAAGTACTGAATAAATGAAGCAGCACATAGATCGGCATGAACATGACAGATACTTGTGACAGCAAAGAGAAAGCCAAGAGTAGTCGTAAATAAAGTGAGGCCAGAGCAGATGGTGGACGACCTGAAAATACTACGGAGAACTTTAGGTTATAAGACTTTATCCTTTATCTCTAAGAAATTAAAGAGCCACTGAAAATTTCTGAATAAGATTTTTATTTTTTGCTTTTTAAAAAAACATTTAATGATTGGTGTTTATTTTTAAAAATGCTTGATTTCTTTAGAGCAGTTTTAGGGTCTATATTGAACAGAAGTTACAGGTTTCCTATGTACCCCCTTCTCCCACATATTCATAGCCCCCCTCTTTACCAACAGCCCCCACCAGAGTGGTACATGTCTTACAACTAATGAACCTATATTGACACATAATCACCCAAAGTCCATGGTTTACATTATGGTTCACTCTTGGTGTTGTACATTCTATGGGTTTGGATAAATGTATAATGACATGTATTCACCATTATAGTATCATGCAGAATACTTTCACTGCCCTAAAAACCCTCTGTGCTCTGCCTATGCATCCCCCTGCTGCTGCCCTCCCTCCCCAACTCCTGGCAACCACTTATGTTTTGTTAACTCCATATTTTCATCTTTTCCAGAAGGTCAGATAGTTGGAATCATACAGTATGTAGCTTTTTCAGATTGGCTTTTTAGTAAGATGCATTTAAGCTTCCGCCATGTCTTCTCACGGTTTAAGAGCTCAATTCTTTTAGCACTGAATAATATTCCATTTTCTGGATGTACCACAGATTACTTATCTGTTCACCTACTAGAAGACATCTTATGCTTCCCAGTCTGGTCAATTATGAATAAAGCTGTTATGACCATGTGTGCAGGTTTTATCTGGACAAACTCCTTTGGGTAAAATACAAGGAGCTTATAGGATTTTGAATAAAATTTTGGATATGATATAGGTTTTATGTTTTCCTAAATGAAAGATTAATCTGGAAGCAGTGTGAAAAATAGATTGACAAAGTTGGGGAGAAGGCCTAGAATCAGAAAGAGGAAGTAAGAAGTTGCTATAGCAAGGTACCTAGGAAATGACATATACCTGAAATAGGGTGAAAATATAGGATTTTAAAAATGAGCACTTAAAAATATCAGTTGCTTAGTGATTAGAAAAAGGGATAAAGAAGAACAAGGAGAAAACTGAAGTGCAAAGATGATTCTAAGCTCTGAAACTGATAAAATGGATGTTGGTGTTGAAACATAGAAAAGCCAATTTATTCTGTTTTGTTTTTTTGAGAAGTAGGATTCTGATAAAGTCAGTTTTAGATCCTACATTTGACATTCACCATGAAATATACTTGGCATAGAGTAGGCCTTATTAAGTGATGAGTCAATTGAATTGGATGGCAGTTAGACTGGTGCACCAAAGAGAAGACACAGAAATACCTGAGAGACAGCATGGATGTAGAAAAATTCCCAATGTGCAGAAGACTATAATAAAGATTTACCAGGACCTGATACTATGAATTTACCACGAGAGGAAAAAAAATGCCCATCTCAAATAAACAAGAAATTTGGGGAGAGTAACCATCTTTTATCTCTTAATGATTCTGTTCTAATCATGGAAACGGGGATCAGGTTGCTCAGGACAAAACTATCTATTAATGTAATTAGGTGTATACTAGAATTTTAGGAATGAAAAGATCCAATGTTCAGAGCCTTTGAATCCCAGAGGAAGCTTTGCTTCAGGCTTCACTGGCAAACCTCTTTCTAATGTTTCTACATAGCAATTTCCGTATTGGGCTGTGCTATTCATATCCTTTACTTTCTATAGAATTTCCATAGAATCCTATAGAATTTTTATGAGACAAAGAAACTTTGCATTGAAAACATGCCTAAGATTGAGATTTAACGTTCTTACTAAAATTAGACAATGTAGTATCTTGTTATCAGAGACTATAATTGCAAAGATATAAAGTAATATATTTTACTGAGCCATGAGAAAATAGATTAAGGGGCAGTAAGAAGAGAAAGTCAACCTGAATCACTTCAAGAGTCAAATATTTTGTATTTCTTTACTTTCACAGGAAGACTCTTGTTCTTTTCAGTTTATACATTGTAGGAGAGAACAAAGATAATCAGTAGAACCATAAAAACAGATTTCGTAGTGCGATTAATCAGCAAAGCACAAGCATTTTCAAATAGTTAATTGTTCAAAATCTATATGAAAAATGACACAAATATCAGCAATATTCCTGCAGTCAGCAGGAAAATACCTAATTTTGTCGTAATTTCAATAAATTCAAACTAGAGAGTTGCTTCCTTTCACCTTCTGATTTTCTTTAGATTGTATTTTGAAAATCAAACCAGAACTTTTTGAAAGTGCCAAAATGGTAGTCAAAATGCAAAGTCACTATCTTTTATCACCAGATACTACGTGTAACAGATACTCCAATCCTTATCCCTGGATTTTACCTAATCCTTGGCCCCAACCCCTTTCCTAAATTTCATCTCAGGATGAGGATGAAGGATGGTGTTGAGCTGTATGTTATACACATTATTGATAATTTTTAAAACTCAAAGTTAATGGTTAATTTTCTAGGTTGTACATTTTTAGGCGGTCATGCATCCTATGAAGAACCAACTCTGTTCCTCCAGTTTGGCCTGGATTTTGAATTATTTTGATGTCAGTGACAAAATATTGTGTTCCAAATACTGTTTGGGGGATTATCTTATCAAAACCCTTGTCCTACTACAGCAACTAATACATGCTTCTATTGTGACAATTACCAAGCAGTATTTTAACAGTTTGTCTTTTCCCCCAGCAAACACAAAGTGTTTAACTACTGGGTTCTTGCCTCTTTATTTTTTGAGGCTGTAGGGTCTCATCTTATGTTGGGTACAAAGTAAATGCTTGATAAATATCTTTATGGAAGGGAAGGAGGGAAAGAGAGAGAAAAGAAAAGGAAGGAAAGGAGGGAGGAAGGAAGGAAAGGAGGGCGGGAGAGGGAGGAAGGGAGGGAGGAAAAAGGGGAAAAAGGAGAGAAGGTCCAAGTCCAATTAAAACGGGAAGTTTAAAAATTGAACTAGTAAATTTCAAATTTCTTATCACTTAAGTCTTTAAGCATAAATGTTTTAATTTTAAAATAGCATACTAATGTTGCAAAATTGGTTTAAGAAAAATTTTAAATGTAGTTACAATACTAAGATATTATTGCAAATAGTTTCATGTCTTCTCATTCAAAAATGATACATCTTGTAATACATTATCTCAGGGTTGTCAAAGTGTGGTCTCTGGACCGGCAATATCAGCATCACTTGGCAATTAATTAGAAACGAAAATTATCCTGCCCTATCCTAGATCTTCAGAATCAGAACCTGAGGCTCAACCATCTGAGTTTCAACAAATACTCCAGGTGGTACTGATGCTCCCTAAAGTTTGAGAACCACTGCACAGCACAATTGTTCAAAATTAGTCCTACTGTGGATGAAGAGGCACCACTCAAACTCAAATATTTTTACGTTAGAGAAAAACAACTAAAATTTCACTAAAAAATAGTACACATTTCGTTCCGTATAAAAGATACCCCCAGGGAGGGTGGGAGGGAGGGAGACGCAACAGGGAAGATATATGGGAACATATGTTTATGTATGACTGATTCACTTTGTTATAAAGCAGAAACTAACACACCATTGTAAAGCAATTATACCCCAATAAAGATGTTAAAAAAAAAAAAAAAAAGATACCCCCATTACTTTAGAATACATAGAAATTTAGAAAGAAGAGATGGAGGAAAAACCCTCCAACCTTTCACTTAGTTTAGTCGTAAACTCTTTGGTCTCCTCTTGTTTTAGGCCCTTTCCTTCACCTAAATTTTCACTGTTAAAAATAAAGGTGTAAAAATGAATAAATTAAAATATATATATATATATAATTTTTTAAAAGAAAAAAATTAGAAGAAAAAAGGTGTAATGCTTATTTTTGTGATACAGTCCTCAAGATCAATTTGTACCAGCCTTCCAAAAAGTTCTTCTCTAAGACAACAAGGAGGCCATCATATCATAGTAAGAGCACAGTTTCTGAAATCGAGCAAACATCAATTCTATTCCAACTCAGTAACTAAGGCCAACACGTTCTTTAGCGTCTTTGAGTCTGGTTCGTTATCTGTAAACCCAAATCCTACCAGACTAACAGAGATAATGTTTATAAAGGGTTTATCGAATTGCCGGGCGCCGCTGGCACTTCTGCTGATGGAAAAGCCACAGCAAGATTAGCTTGGGAGGAAGCCGTGGACGTAGGTCAGCTGATTCTCCAAGCGAGCTGCCTCCTTCTGATTCTCAAAGACCAATCGAAGCTCTCCCAGGTGATTCCGCAGGCCTAGAGAGATGACCTGCCTCCAACTGATGCACGGTCCCTTTAAGAGCCTCACTCCCGCCGCCGCCGACTCCCAGCTTCGCCTAGGCGAAGGCGGAACCGGAAGTTATGGGGGATGCGCCGGTCCCCAGCATGGCGGCTTCTCGGACCTCCGGGCCGGTTGCTTCTGAGACTGCTGCTGCTCGGCTTCTGGCTGTACTGTGGGTCGTGTCAGTAACCACGGGACCTTGGGGAGCTGCCGCCGGCGGTGGCGAAGAGTCACTTAAGTGCGAGGACCTCAGAGTGGGACAATATCCTCTGTGAGGAGCCCCCCCCATGGGGCGAGGTAGATTCGGGGTCGAGAGTGGGTCGCGGCTCTCAACATGGGCTAAGGTTTTACTGAAAGGAAAGGTGACCTGTGTCCTTTAATGACCGAGGGACCCCAGGCGGTGAAGAGAGATGTGGGGCTGGGACGGACAGAGGCCATCCTGTGTGATTTCCTTGGGATTTTACTGATCGTTGATGCTTCCTCTTGTGATCCCCCTTTCTTTTTTAAAAATTCATTTTTTTAACCGGTGGGTTTATTTGTTCAAACACATTGATACTGAAGTTAGGCCATGTTTGTAAGCATTGGAATTAAGTTAAAAGGTTGATGGACCCTACCCTGGAAATTTGCCGACTTCGGGGAAGACAAGTACAGTAATTAATAACGATATAGCCAATGTATGTTGCCCATTTATTGTTAACTTTACATTTATTACCTTATACTATCTCGACCTACATGAGATCCCAGATTGCAAAGGGGCAAATTCCTGCTCCACTTTGTAACAGTGGACAAATTATTTGAACTGTGTTTTATCATGAGTAAAAATATAGATAACAGTGCTACCAACTTAAAGGTCTGTTGTGATAAATTAGTACAGGTAAGTCACTTAGAACAATGCCTGGCACGTAGTAGGGGCTATATGTGTTAGCTGTTTGTTTACTGATGAGAAAACAGGCTGGAGGAGTTAAGTAGATCTGTTCATTGCAGCAGCTCTGATAAGTGGAGGAGGATATGAAATGGGAGTTATATTCAAATTAAAATAGGTAATTTTGTACAAAATTAGACAGTTTTATACAAGTTGTAGAACAGAAAAATTAATAGAAGCCAGAGATATAAAAAAGATTCTATGAGAAGAAATCTTAAAATTAAGAAAATTCGATAGTATTTTTAAGAGTTGAGGAGAGGCCGCCATTATTAAATTTTTACAGAATAGCTCTAATTTGCTGATTACCATTATGCTAGGAGTTTGAGAATCACTGACCTAGTAAGTTGAGCCCCTTTCTTGGCAAAAATGTCGGGGTGATTATTTCTAATAAAATAATTGAGCAGTATGAAGAGCTGTGCTTTTTGAAACTTAGAAGTACCTGAGCATACAAGATGATGTTAACTGGAAAATGTTTTTCCTCGCATAAAGATGAGATGTCCAGTAGTGATTCAGAAACCCTAAAGAGGTGTCAGACTCTGTCTCCAGAGACATCCTGTGAGTACCTTACTTATCTCATATTAGTGTCAATAAAATTTTTAGGAAACAGAACCCCGACCCCAAGTGTTGTGAACATCTATGAGAAGATAATTATTATATCCATTTACAAAAGCTTAAAATCCTGTTGGGGAGACCATGTAGACCCGCCTAAAACAACCATCTTCCTCGCAGTCTGATGGAAAGCACCCTCGGCTTGGAATCAGGAAATCTGATTTTACTACCTATCACTCATACCACTTTGGATAAATCACTCAAACCTTGAGCATCAGTTTGCTTCAGTAATGTGGGGATAATAGTATCTACATCACAGGATTATTTGTGTTACATGAAATTATGTATATGGTAATACTTGGGGCCTGTAAATAATTTCAGTCAGATATCTGGAAACTGATTTTTTTAACTTGAAGTTCTCGTATATAATTTGGTAAAGATTTTTATTTTCTTTTTTTTTGTGTGCTTTGTGCTTAAACCCTGACTGATGTTCCATAAGCACAGCACCCTCTGCTAGAGTTTTTAATACAGTTTTCCTGTAATAAGTTAATATTCAGGTATTATTTAGTGACACTAGAAGTATACCTGTGCTTGTTGACTTGGACAAACTAACAGCCTCTTTTCACATGTGAATATAATCATAAATATATAAGATGACATGTTAAAGACAAGATGATAATGTTTTATATTGGAATGTAGTTCATATTTCCTTAACTTTTCTACATATATTTGTAAAGATCCAAAAATAAATGATGCTACACAAGAACCAGTTAACTGTACAAACTACACAGCTCATGGTAAGACTTGCAGAAACATTTTAAATAATTTTTAAAACATTATTTCATAGATGAATGTGTGGTCGCTAACAGTAATTAATAAATGTGTTTTTTCTTGATTTACAACATTATTATTATTCAGTTTTCAGAACAACTTAATATTGGAGAACTGGCTAGGGGTTGTTAATATTTAATTTAAAAAATAATCTTATTCTATTAATTATATAAACTGAGTTTTTTATTTTCATTCATTTTTTTAAAAAAACGTTAGAATAATTTATATAGCTTTCTTGTTGCCCTTTATTTATCAAGTTATGTTTTACAAAGATGCTTCTTTAGACTTTTAATTACTCAAAGAGAACTTGAAATGAGACTTTTAGTCCAATAAGGTACGGTGAGGAGCTTTATCACCCATATCATGCACTTGTAAAATATACTTAGGTACATCCTAAGTGTGAAAAGAATACGGTAAGGATTTGAAGTGTGCATTAGTTTTTTCTTAGACGTTTTGGTAATGGATAACACCCTCAACCTAATGATTTGGGGGAGCTTCTGTTATTCCAAAAAATACGTAATGCTAGATAAAAATTAATAAGTTGTTTAGCCTTCTAAAGGGTTATATGTTGGAAAGGAGGCAGATAGATGTAAGTTGGAGCTATTTGGATTTGGCATTCTTATTTGACATGGTACATAATGATGGTCAATACCTAGTATTATTTTGAGAAAAGAACACCTATTGAATATATACTGATTGTTTTATTCTTTAGACAGGAAATAAGGCAATAATTGATGTTTTCTTTATAAATGAAAGCTACTAAACAGATTCATTTTGGAAATCAGATTAAAGGGATTTTTTTAACTGCAAAAAACTTTCAGTTTTTCAAAATTATCTTATAGTCAAATAACTGACCTCTTGATTATGAATTAGTATATATTTTTAAAAGATGTCCCTTCTCTTTTTTATTCCTTTATATTTTGACACACTGTTAGCCCCATTCTATTCAGCAGAGATATTTGAAAGTAAATTGTGTTAAACTTTTATAACAGACGTTTTGCTACTATTCTGGAGTAATGAAATTTTATCATATAAACAGTAATAGGTTATATATATGATTTTTATAGTAAATATTGCTCAATATATGTACATTTATTTAATTAAGATGTGTTAGACTTAAAGGAACTTTGCACGGAATCCCCTCCTTTTTAAATTGCTTTATAAGTATATTCTGATTTGCCTGTGTTACAGTTCAGTCTTTTATATTGTGCTCTCAGAATACAGAGAATAGTGTTAACACACATAAAGAACAATGAGCTTTCAGATATTCAACCACGTATATGAAATATGTTGGAAATCTGTGAATACTATTGTGACTGAGGTCACTTTAAACTAGGAATCAGGCAGCCAGCCATCTCAAAAAAGCCTTTTCTAGTCTGCAGAATTCTTTGTACGTATGAGGATTTTGAAGGAAATTATACAACTAAAAAGAATAGTTTCTGACCAAAAAGAGCTCTGCCCTCCAGTTAGGTGTCTCTTTTGTAAAATAAGTTTGAATCCACTTAAGTAATTATTGCTAAATAAGTTTATAAAAAACTACAAAATCAAATGATCAGACTGCTAGGAAGTATAAAAGGACTTGGAGGTGTTATGGTCACGTTGTGACCTGTCAGGTAAGTTATCATAGATGATGTAAGTGGAGAGCTGCAGAAAAATAAAAGGAAGGCTTTCTATGTACAGGAATGGTATGGTTATTCATTTGGAGAGAATAAACCATAAGTGCCTAACAATCTGGAAACACACATAAAATGTTATAAATTAATAAATAAATGACTTTAGATTATTATTATGACTTTAAAAAGAAAATAAAGTTTCGGAGACAAATATGAGTTACAGGGCTTCTGCATGTGGATTATAATTTATGCATGACCCAGAAGTGTTCAGCCAAGATCTGGGATAGGTTCTACCAGCCCAGCCCTCATGAGGCTATGTCTGTCCACAGGATGCTTCTTTTAATTGTCCTTTTTAAAACACGCAAGACGAGTGGAGTGGCTGTGGTGAGTCACTTCTGAGTGCTGATCAGAGAGGACATCAAAGTAACCCTTGAAACATGCTTTTTGGTCCTGACGTAGGAATATATTAGAGTTGTGAAAAGTGTGATCTCTCTCGTTTCTCGAGCCAAAATTTTTCTTCTGTTTTTTTGAGTATATGAAGGACTATTGCAGAATCCTCAAACTAAGTTTAATTTTCTTAAACTATACTTTTTAGTAAGGAATGAGTGGGTGGAGTGTTTTACGGAGAGGGGAGTTTGGAGGTAGAGAGTAAGAATTGGGACCAAAGGCAAAGGAGATTCAACTATGACAATAAACTGTGTGGTCTTAAAATGGTTACCAGTTAGCCCAACCAGTTAACATGCATCTTTATTTATTCAGAAATTATTTGTAATAGTTTAATAATTAAATTAAAATAAGTAAATGGATCAAAACAGCTAACAGTGAACATTTGTATTATAAACTATTTATTATTGAGAAATTTATTTATTGAGAAGTTATTATATGGCAGGCTTCTGCTAAATGGTATAGATGATACATAAAAGAAGACAATCTGTGCCCTCAAGGAGTGTTCTGTCTAGAACATATATATACATAAAGACATACATAAGCAAGTGTTTTTAATTTTCTGAGTAGTGAAATACAAAAGTATTTAAACTCCATTTCCAGAAATTTTGCTCTGGTCCTTTGGCAGAAGGTCTTTTTCATTTAGATGTTATTGAAGTATATGTACAGAAGAGTACACTTAAATATAACTCAAATAAACTTTCACAAACTGAACACACCTGTGAATGCTTCCAGATTAAGAGACAACCTTATCAACATGCTAGGACTCTGCCCCATGCTCTCTTATAGCCACTACCCTGCCTTAATGATAATTATTATCCTAACTTCTAATAGCATAAATTAGTTATGCAAAGGGTGTGTTATTTTTAAACTTTTTATTTGGAGATAATTTCAAGCTTACAGAAAAATTGCAAGAATAGTACAAAGAACACCCATACACCCTCTCCCCAGATTCACCCATTGTTAAACATTATCCTTCTGGCTTTATCATTGTGCACTCATGCATGCTCTCTGTCTCTCTCTGAATTTGTGTATATATGTTTTGTCCCTAAATATCTTTGTGTGTGTTTTCTAAGAATAGAGATATTCTCTTGACATAACCACAGTTCAGTTGTAAAACTTGAGTAAATTCAGTGTTAATGCACATACTTTACCATCCACATTCTGATTTTGTCAAATAACCCAAATAAAGCCTTTATAGCATTTTCCCCCAGTACAGGATCCCAAGATCAGGTTTTGCCTTTAGTTTTCCTTAACTTGGAATATTTCCACAGCTTTGTCTTTCATGATACTGACAAGTTTGAAGACTACAGTCCCCTTTATTTTAATAGAATATTCCTCATTTGGGATTGTCTGATATTTCCTTACAACTAGATTTAGGTTCTGCATCCCAGGATGGAAAATTACATAAATGATGGCGTGTCCTCTGCATCTCACAGCTGAGGGACGTGATATCCATCTGCCTCTCATTGATGATGTTAAGTGTTGATCACTCAGTCTTTTCAGTTAAATATTTTTTCCTTTGCAACTAATAAACAGTCTTTGGGGAGACTCATTTAGACTATGCAAATATCCTATCCCTCATCAAAAATTTCCCCTAGACTTTCCCCTAGACTAGCATCCATGATGATTCTAGCCCGAATCTTTTTTTTTTTTTTTTTTTTTTTTTGGCTGTGCCGCAAGGCATGCAGGACCTTAGTTCCCTGACCAGGAGTTGAACCCATGCCCCCTGCAGTGGAAGCACGGAGTTTTAACCACTGGACCGCCAAGGAAGTCCTCCGAATCATTCTTTACTCTGATAGTTGCAAAATGATGATTTTCCAACTCCAGCACTTCCAGAGGAGAGGTGTCTTTTAACAGTAGAAATATGAAGATAGGGTTGGCTCTTACCAGCTTTATCTTTTGGTTTCACCCAAATTCTAGATTGACACATTTAATTATCCGGTGATTATGCAGTATAACCTGTTACAGAAATCATAAATAAAAGAGTCTGACCCTCTTATATGACAGATCAGATCAGAGTGCAGAGGCATGATGTTAACTGGAGTAGGGTCCCAAACCACCTCCTCTCTAGGTCAGTCCATTTTACTGTGATGAAACTTCATTGATTATTTTATTTCTAGTTTAGCTTTTTTGTATTTAAAAAACGGTGCTGCTTTTTATAATTGAGAAATAACAGTGTACCATGCTTAAATTGATGCCATCTAAATCCTAGACATTAGCCAGAGCCAAACATTTTGCAAGAAAACTGCAAATGGAATAGTTTTCAAGCTTCTGGCATGTTGCTTAATTTTGTCAACTAGTTAACATTTATCGGTAACTGGCTTCCTTAATCTCATCATTGATTTATTTTTGTTTGTTCCTGATATCAGTGTAAGCATGGCATTATCATGGTGTAATGAAAAGAGTACTGATTAAAAGTGATGAGTTAGTCTAGGACTTGTAGAATATTACCCATTTATGACACTTTGGTGAGCTCATTTAATTTCTTGGCACCTCAGTTTTTCTGTTTGCAAAAGGAAGAAAAGAAAAGAGCATATTACTAGTTCTGCCTACTTAATAGTTTTTTTAATAAATAAGGGTCGGGCTTCCCTGGTGGCGCAGTGGTTAAGAGTCCGCCTGCCAATGCAGGGGACACGGGTTCAAGTCCTGGTTCGGGAAGATCCCACATGCCGCGGAGCAGCTAAGTCCGTGTGCCACAACTACTGAGCCTGTGCTCTAGAGCCTGCAAGCCACAACTACTAAGCCCACATGCCACAATTACTGAAGCCTGCGCCCACCTAGAGCCCACTCACCACAACAAAGAGCAGCCCTTACTCGCCGCAACTAGAGAAAGCCCACACACAGCAACGAAGACCCAACGCAGCCGGGAAGGAAGGAAGGACTCCTTTAAAAAAAATAAAATAAGTGTCAAATGAAGTCATTATAAAATATGTAAAAATGAATAAATTCTAGGGTTGTAGGCATCTATTGAATAGATTAATTTCATTTCACAAAATCTATTAAAATTTACAGCCACTCACGTGTTATATTCATTCCTCATGTCAGGTTCATTCTCTTAGTCTTCTCAGTGTTGAAGTTCTCTAATTTCCTAGAGTAAGGAAGTTGAACACTTTCTCTAGCCAAGCATCATGCTTTACATACCATATGCTTTTAATATGTGTATAATAGCATTACAAGGGTCTTATTCCCATTTCACAGATTACAAAACAAGGTTCAATGAGGTTTTGTAACTTGCCCAGAAGAACATACTAGTTAAGTGACAGAGTTTGGACTTAAGCACAGATTTGTCCCATTCTAAAGTATTGCTTTTTGGAGTTTTCTATCAGTTGAAACAAATCAGATCAGTCTCAATGTTGCTCTTTAATATTTTCTCATGTTATCTCGCTATACTGGGAGCGACAGCTCATCCATCCTCATTAAAGTACGTAATTTTCATCCCTTGAAATAATTAGCTCATACTTCTGTCAAACTTCTCCAGAATTATTGTAGCAATGTGGTTTCCCCTTCACTCTGGTACTTCCACTATTTGTATCTTTCCTGAGGTTCTAAGCCTAGATCGTTGGGCATTTTTCTTTCCTTTATCTGTCTCATTAAATACAAAGCAGCTCATATTGAATACAAATCATTTCTTATATTAGAAATGATACAATAGCATTGAAAGCTAAAATTGTCAAAATATAGGAGTTTGAACAATTAATAGTATCCAACCAAAAAATAGGTATGATTTCTTAGTTTTTAATATTTTTATAAAGCATTTTTACAACTCACCTATAAATGTTTGATCTTCCAAATTTTGTACAGGAACCTGTAATCTCAAAAAATATTACATTTCTGTTAGGCAAGGTATATTGGACAATAACCCCAGTGGGAATCATAGTGTTTTGTATTGCAACTATCTCTTTAAGATCTAATTTTAGATAGTCTGCAGGAAGATCTAACAAGGCTATAAGGCAGGAAAGTGACAGCTTCAAACTGAACAAGTACAAGGTAGTAATACATTTAGAGGAAAATTACCCAAAATTTAGTAATAGAATTCTGTTTTATTGCACAATTTTCCAATCCAGAACTTACTACTTTGAGGATTTGAAAAAAATTAAAGGTGTTATTTGAAGAAAAACTTGCGTCTATCTATAGATCTTCCTGCAGGTCACTTCTTTGTGGAGGTGGAGTGGTCCTCACCAAGGCAAAAAACTTTAATTTTTTAAACCAGACATTGCTTTGACTTATTTACATGCCTGATGCCTTAACTGGAGTACATGTACTCCTGGGGGTAGACAAAGCTTTCCAAGAGGTAAACAGATATAGATGAATAAGTTTTCTAGGGCTGTTAGTAATAGTGTTACAAACTGGATGGCCTAAAACAGTAGATGTTTACTGTCTCTGGAGGCTAGAAGTCTGAAATCAAGGTGTTGGCAAGGCCATGTTCCCTCTCAAACTCTGGGTAGAATTTTTTGTTTCCTCTTTTGAGCTGCTAGGGGTGGCTGGCAATCCTTGGCAGTCCTCGGATTGTAACCTAATCAGTCCTAGTTTCTCTGTCTCTTTTTTTTTTTTTTTGGCCATGCTGCATAGCTTGTGAGATCTTAGTTCCCAACCAGTGATTGAACCTGGGCGCTCGGCAGTGAAAGCCTCGAGTCCTAACCACTGGACCACCAGGGAATGCCCCACATTAGTCTAATCTCTGCTTCTGTCTTCACATTGCATTCTGCCTGTATGTCTTCACATCATCTTCTCCCTGTGTATGTTCAGTTTTCCCTTTTTTAAGGATACCAGTCTTATTGCATTAGGGCCCACCCTAATGACCTCATCTTAACTTGGTTAAATTTGCAAAGACTATTTCTAAGCAAGGTAACATTCTGAGGTACTGAGGGTTAGGACTTCAACATATCTTTTTGGGAGGGTACAATTCAGCCCACAATGTGTCTTTAAAATAATCAATTTCCAGATCCTCAGTTTTTATATGTGTATTTTTTCCTACAGTTGATGTAAAATTTCTGAATTTTAAAGAAGAGCCCTTTCATATTCTTGGTTGGATCATAGTGGCTATCAAATTGCTGTGGTATTTAGATTCCATTTTAAAGAATGCTATAATATTTCAATACTAAGGGCAGTATTTACAGTATGCTGGAAATAATATTTTTCCCAACAATTTAAACCCATGGTGAAAAATTTTAGAAGTCAAGTTAAAAATGTGTGAGGGAGTATATGGTTTTAAAAAGTTATTTTAGGGAGCGTGTGAGCCACATTTTTTGAAGACCACTGATCTACAGCAGTTTTTCAACCTTAGTACTATTAATGTTTGGGACTAGATAATTCTTTATTGTGAGAAGGCTGTCTTGTGCATTGTAGGATGTTTAGGAGCATCCCTGGCCTCTACCCACTAGATGCCAGTAGCAGCTTCCCAGTAGTGACAACCAAAAATGTTTCCAGACGTTGCCAAGTATCCCCTGGAAAGCAAAATTACTTTCCATCATTCCCTCATCATAGAAATAGAGCATACTGATCTCCTTTCAATTGGTAACATAGAATATATATTAGCATTTCAGACGTATGTTAATCTCGGCTTTGAGTTGTCTACTATATAGCTCCAGTCAAAAGCATGACCTAAGATGGCAGATTGAGAGATATAACTTAAGGGACATGATAATAATTCATTCCCAAAAGTCAGTAAGTTTTATCCCTATATCAAGGCAGATGGCAAAACAACTACATATAAATCATGTGTTAACTTTTTCTCCATCTCTGTAGATCTTAACATTATAAGCTCTTGCTTATATCTGGAGTCAGTGTGAGAAATGGCTATGTGGAAAACTTTTCTTTATTGTTCTAGTAAAGTTCTAGTTGAGGACCTTCTCTATTACATTCTCTTACCCTTGTGTCATGAACCAAACCAAATTCCCACAGTGGTTTAGAGGTGAATTGGTATGCTTTCTTTCAGTTATATCACAGTAGCTCTGTAAAGCTTTTTGCCTTAACTACCAGGAACCTCTGAGCTACATTGGTGGTCGGTTATACTGTCTTCCCTTAGTTGTTTCCCAGTATAATTATTTCTTCACTCTCCCTCTTCCCTTAATCTTATTACTTTTTTTCTTGTTTAAATGGTTCTCAGTTGTATTGAACCTATCTATGCCTTTTAGCATAAGCACCTCCTTGTGTTGGAAATGTAAATACATTAAATAAATAAAGTTTATGGGACGGTATAGTTTGAACTATCAATAACACACAGAAGGGTGCAAAGTCATTATAGAGTTTTTTTCCTGGCCTCATTCTCTCAGTGTACTACTCTGGCATAAAAAAGGACAGTGATTTGTTGAAAATCTTAAGATAATTATAGACAGAAAATAAATACCATTTTTCTCTCAAATAAAACTCTGGAGTCTGTGGGGGTTTTTTTGTTTGTTTGTTTTAGACTATTAGACCAAGTTCTGTTTTCATTTTCTCAAAAAAAAACCCCACTGTAATTATTGTTGCTAAACATAGAGATAAACATTTACTGAAACTAGCCTAAAAACATTAGTACTTTTTAGTCAGAAACAATGACGGAGGAAAAGGCACTAACATTTATTGAATGCCTACTAAATGCTGGCCTTACACTAGGTATTTTGTATCATTTAATCCCCACAATAGTCTTATTATGATCTTAGTGCTATTTTTATCTACAAGGAATCCAAGGTTCTGAAACAGGCAATGCACAGATAGGTCATTCTCATTCCAAAGTTCTAGCTCTTTCTTTTTTAAATAAATTTGTTTATTTTTGTCTGCGTCGGGTCTTTGTTGCTGCGCGTGGGCTTTCTCAGTTGCGGTGAGCGGGGGCTACTCTTCATTGCAATACTTGGGCTTCTCATTGCGGTGGCTTCTCTTGTTGCGGGGCATGGACTCTTAGCACACGGGCTACAGTAGTTGTGGCACGCGGGCTCTAGAGCACAGGCTCAGTAGTTGTGGCGCGTGGGCTTAGTTGCTCTGCGGCATGTGGTATCTTCCCGGACCAGGGATTGAACCCGTGTCCCCTGCATTGGCAGGCGGATTCTTAACCACTGCGCCACCAGGGAAGTCCCCAGAGTTCTAGCTCTTTACATGATGTGCCATAAAGACTTCAGGACAGTGCCTAACTAGCACATAGTAAGCTTTATAAGTGTTACTGCCTCGTATTATCATGTCATTTGGGGTATGAATAAAGATCAAAATTACTAAATGCTGAGATAATACACTACATCAAATCCTAGAGGGAATAGAGAAACAAAAAACAAATTCTATACATTTAGAATAAATGAAAGTAATTTATTTAGAATAAAGAGGAATCTTAGTTTATTGTAGCCATCATCTATAAGAACTTTATAAACTGAAAATATAAAATCAGATTATGTTAAATTTAATGAATTACCTAATGAGATACCAACAAAAATTCGAGAAGTATTCTTTATCCTAGAGATAAAGTAAAGGATAGTAATGTGCAATTCTTCCCTTGTTACCTTTGTCAGAGGCAGGAGATTGAACTTGATGGGTCATGCATCTAACTCAGTGTGGCAGTTGTTATGCTTTTGTGTTCAGACTACTCTATCATATTATCTGCACCTTTTTTTTGTTTTTATTTTTTTATCTGTATCTTATCTTGTACATGAGTGTGTGTGTGTGTGTGTGTGTATATATATATGTATATAAAATGTAGCTTTTCCTATCTAAATTAAAGTATATCATGTTATATTGGGAGGTGGTTTGTTTTAACATTATATTTTCTTGTGTGTATTGCTAGCCTTAGGAAAAAACATAATTACATACTTTTCCACAAGAAAATAAATAATGGATTTTTGCTTTTTTCTGCCTTTAGTTCCATGTTTTCCAGCACCTAACATAACTTGTAAGGATTCTGGTGGCAATGAAACACATTTTACTGGAAACGAAATTGGTTTTCTCAAGCCCATATCTTGCCGAAATGTGTAAGTACCTACCTTACTGAAGCTAAATTTTCAGATTACTTGCCTATGTTGTATCTTGACTGAATGGAGTGAAGAGGAAAAGAGTTAATTTGTAAGGAGAATCCTGCACTAATATAATTTATACCTTTTTGCTTTTGTCAGAAAATCTCTATTTTAAGTGTGCATATCGTTATATATATATATATGCAGTTTACCAACCAAGTAAAGCTCAGTAGTTCACTATGTGGGATAAATAGAATGAATGGCTTCATGCCATGTCAGTTCAGCCAGTGTTTGCTACCAAATGGCTTATGAAAAAATTCTGTTTTCAAAATCTGGGGGCTTTCTCGAGTACAAATAAGGGATTGTGTACCTATAGTATTAAAAGAATGCTAATTAGTAATCATTTGGATTTTGAAACTTGGTTTCATTATTTGTAATAGGTTTGGATGATAAATGGTAATGTTAAACAATTCAAAAGTTAGTTTGGTATATTAAGACAAATGGTTTTATTTTGTTGGGAGTATTGTTTGTTTAAAGGACTTTTAAGTTTGCTATTTATTTTTGCTCCAGTAAAGCTAACAGTTTATTCTTATGTTAATGCTTTGTCCTGAAAACATGATTTAATTTTACCCATTTTTGTTAATTGTTGGCATTCTATTTTTATCTTTTACTGTACGTTGTTGCATTTTATATGATGGCACCTATTTTGCAGTTATATCAAAAAACAACCACTATTTGACTGTTTCTGCAAGTTCTATTAGAATTCTTAGAAATTACTATTAGAGTTTTTTTTTTTTTTTGACCCTACTTCACTGAGTTAATGAGGGGCTTTAGATTCTATCTTGCTGTGTAATCCAATCACTTTAAGCTTCTTGGGTTCCAAGATTGCTCATAAGTAAAGTAAAAATTGTTAAAGGGAATTATTTCCAAAGTACTTAGATATGGTTTAGTCAGTTTTTAGATTTATAGATTGATGTTTCCAAATGACAAATAATTTGTTAAGTGTTGGTCCAAGGTTATAATACAACAACTAAGAAAATCATCCATTAAGAACAGCTAACCATTCAGGTTGGACGTTGCAGGTTCATATTACCTATAATGGTCACACCACAATGATCTGCCACTTAATTTCCAAATCAACTCTGCTTTTCCTTTTACTGTCTCTGAGTAGTTAGGCTCAATGCAACTGAGCTGTACTAATCATGCTCACAAGACATTGATTTCAATTGTGATAGGAAATATAACTATCAAGGAAACTAGATACTCCAAGTCTACTGGCCAACTTATTCCCCTCCTGTAGTAAAGTCTACAATTCCAAAATAGAATTTGCTTGATGAGCATTGAATCAGAACATGGGGAGTTAGATTGATGGATAATTTTAATAAGTCACAAAAGTAACATAACCTGATATATCACTTTCCTTTATCAGGATATTCAGTACATGCCTACCAAACAGCCAGCTGCTAGTTAGCTACTGAGTAAAGACTCACTGACAAATTCTTAATTCATTGAGTGTCCCTTTTCCAGTTTACATATTTTCCTTCTCCTGTAGGCATATCCTTTTATAATATTGATACTTGACTAGAACTCCATCTCAATATTGCAGATATAGCCATTCTATAATGTATTCTTCAGCAACTGAAGTCTAAACTATGTCTGATTGGTTACCGAGTCACACACCTATTTATACTGGCCATCTGCATTAGTTGGAGCAGCCTGTTGTAACAAATGTCTTAAGAATTTCAGTGACTTAACACAGTAAAAGTTATTTCTCACTCACATCATAGTCCAATTTGTGTTGCCTTGGGGGTCTGGATGGGGTGAAGGGAGTGGTAGTTGCTCCATGCAGTCATGCGGGCTCTTGTGCTTTCATCTTGTAGCTTTGCTTCCTCTAGTCCTTAGAGTCCTTTCCATTCAGCCAGCAGATGGAAAGTGGAGAAAAAACCCCTGCAGGAATGTTTTATTGGCCAGACATAAAATGATGGCATACATCACTTCTGTCCTCATTCCATTGGCCAAAACTAAGTGATGGCTGCACTTAACTGCAAAGGTAGCTACAGTAAACAAAGGCATATCTCAGAGATATCGTGAGTTTGGTTGCAGACCAGTGCAATAAAGCAAGTCACATGAATCATTTGGTTTCCCTGTGTACATAAAAGTTATGCTTATACTATATGTAGTCTATTAAGTGTGCGATAGCATTGTGTCTAAAAAAACCATACCTTAAATTTATTAATGCTGTTGGAAAAATGGTGCCGATAGACTTGCTTGATGCAGCGTTGCCACAAACCTTCAACTTGTAAAAAACAGTTTATCTGTAAAGCACAATAATGCAAAGCACACCAAACAAGGTCTGCCTGTTGTTTTGTTGTATGTACATGAGAAAAAGAGAAATGATTTGGTAAACAATTAGACAGATCTCTTCTACACACCAGTTTTTAGATTATCCTTTAGGATGATTTATTTATGTAGGTAACTGCTTTTCTGATTTCATTCCCCTTACCAGCCAAGATTTTTGAGAGGCTTGTTTCTATAATATTTATCTTTTATGAATTTTTCAGTCTAATGCAGTATGGCTTTTGGCCATACTGAAATTCACTAGCCATCTTTGTTGCTATATCAAATGGATATTTATAGTCCATATCTTAATCCTTCCACAGCATTTGGCATTCCCTTTTCTTAAAATACTTTCTTTCCTTAACTTCCAGTATAAAACACACTTCTATTTCTTTTGATTCCTATTCCTTTCCTTCTTCCTTAAATCTTGATATTCCCAAGATTATGTCCTTGGTCCTTTTCTCTGCTTCATTCATCCACCCCTTTGGTTTCTCTCACCATCTTTATATAAAGGTCCTTTCCTTCAAATCATTTCCTCCTTTGTATTAGTGAATGCAGCTGTTCTACCCAGTTTCTTAAGCAGAAACTTTTGGAGTCATTCTCCTATTCTCTCATTCCCCACATTTCTTCTGGCTGCTTCTGCCTTCTTAGTATTTCCAAATTTTGTTTCCTTTTCTCTCCCACTGCTACTATCCAGTAGGTTATAGCTTGAGTTTCTACAAAGTCTCCGAATTTATTTCTCTACTTCTAGTCTGGTGACCCATTGCAATGTAGAAGGGGCACTACTGCCCTCAGTGTAAAATCTGACATTCTTATAATATTAGATGCATAGACAGAATCTCTGGGTTGTTTACCATCTTCCCTAACTCCCTGAAAATGTCCTGATTGTGAGTCAATGCAAAAAACAGGATCATAAGCAGGAGACTCACATAATCAGATTTGACTTTAAAATGATAACTCCAGCTACCTTTTTATTTCTTTACTCCTCTTTGCAGCAACTCCTTGAAAGAGTTATCTAATACTTCTTTTCTTTAATTTTGTCCAACCTTTTTTTTTAATTGAGTTAACATAGGTTTGTAACATATAAGTTTCATGTGTACATTATAATTCAACTTCTGTATACACTGCAGGGTGCTTCTCACCACATCTAGTTTCCATCCATCATCATACAAAATTGATCCCTTTTACCCATTTCGCCTACCTCCCACCCCCCTTCACCTCTGTGTCCACCAGTCTGTTCTCAGTTTCTATGTGTTTGTTTTTGTTATTTTTTGTTGTTCATTTACTTTTTTTTATATTCCACATATGAGTGAAATCATATGGTATTTGTCATATTTGTCTTTCTCCATCTGACTTATTTCACTTAGCACATGGCACTTAGCACATAGACCTCAAGGTCTATGCATGTTGTCACAAGTAGTAAGATTTTGTCTTTTTTTTTAATGGCTGACTAGTATTCTTGTATATATATATACACCGTATCTTCTTTATCCACTCATTCATTGGTGGGCAGTTAGGTTGTTTCCATATCTTGGCTATTGTTAATAATGCTGCAGTGAACATTGGGATGCATATATCTTTTTGAATTAGTGTTTTCTTATTCTTTGGATAAATACCCAGAAGTGGAATAGCTGGATCATATGGTAGTTTTCTCCATACTGTTTGTCTTTTCTTTTCTTTTTTTAAAATAAATAAATTTATTTATTTATTTACTTTTGGCTGTGTTGGGTGTTCATTGCTGCACGGGCTTTTTCTAGCTGTGGCGAGCGGGGGCTACTCTTCATTGCGGTGCATGGGCTTCTCATTGCGGTGGCTTCTCTTGTTGTGAAGCACAGGCTCTAAGTGCATGGGCTTCAGTAGTCGTGGCATGCGGGCTCAGTAGTTGTGGCTCACGAGCTCAGTAGTTGTGGCTCGCAGGCTCTAGAGTGCAGGCTCAGTAGTTGTGGCACACGGGCTTAGTTGCTCCGCAGCATGTGGGATCTTCCCAGACCAGGGCTCAAACCTGTGTCCCCTGCATTGGCAGGCAGATTCTTAACCACTGCACCACCAGGGAAGTCCATCCATACTGTTTTTCATAGTGGCTGCTCTAATTTACATTTCCACCAACAATATATGAGGGTTCCCTTTTCTCCACATCCTCTTCAACATCTTGTCTTTTCTTGTTTTTATGATAATAGCCATTCTAATATGTGAGGTGATATCTCATTGTGGTTTTAATTTGCATCTCTCTGATGATTGAACATCTTTTCAAGTGCCTGTTGGCCATGTCTTAAATGGAAAAATGTCTGTTTAGATCCTCTGTCCATTTTTTAATCAGGTTGTTTGTTTTGTTTTTATTGAGTTGTATGATAGGAATTGCACTGAATCTGTAAATTGCTTTAGGTAATGTGTATTTTAACAATGTTAATTCTTCCAATCCATGAGCATGGGATATTTTTACATTTCTTTGTGTTTTCTTCAATTTATTTCAATAATGTCTTACAGTTTTTAGTATACAGGTCTTTCATCTCCTTGGTTAAACTTATTCCTAGGTATTTTATTATTTTTGTTGCAATTATAAATAGGATTGTTTTCTTAATTTCTTTTTCTGCTAGTTTGTTAGTGTATAGAAACACAACATATTTTTGTATATTGATTTTTTTACCCTGCTGTTTTACTGTATTTGTTTATTATTTCTAATAGTTTTTGGTGGAGTCTTTAGGGTTTTCTATATATAAAATTATGTCATCCACAAATAGTGACAGTTTTACTTCTTTCTTGCCTTTTATTTCTTTTTCTTGCCTAATTGCTCTGGCTAGGACTTCCAATATTATGTTGAATAAGAGTGATGAGAGTGGGCATCCTTGTCTTGTTCCTGATCTTAAAGGGATAGCTTTCAATTTGTCACTGTTGAATATGATGATAGCTGTGGGTTTGTTACATATGGCCTTTACTATGTAGAGGTACATTCCTTCTGTACTCATTTTATTGAAAGTTTTTATCATAAATGGATTTTGAATCTTTTCAAATGTTTTTCTGAGTCTTTTGAGGTGATCATATGGTTTTTATTCATTTTGTTAATATGGTGTGTCACATTGATTGATTTGTGGATGAATCATCCTTGCATCCCTGCAATAAATCCCATTTGATTATGGCATATAATCCTTTTAATGTATTGTTGTATTTGGTTTACTAATATTTTGTTAGGGATGTTTGCATCTATGTTCATCAGAGATATTGGGTTGTAATTTTCTCCTCTTGTGGTGTCCTTGTCTGGTTTTGGTAATGCTGGTTTTGCAAAATAAGTTAGGAAGCATCCCCTCCTCTTCAGTTTTTTGAAAGAGGTTGAGAAAGATAGGTATTAAATCTTTGAATGTTTGGTAGAATTCACCAGTGAAGCCATCTGGTCCTGGACTTTTGTTTTGGGGGAGGTTTTTGGTTAATGTTTCATCTCTTTACTAGTGATAGGTCTATTCAGATTTTCTATTTCTTACTGATTCAGTCTTGGAAAGTGGTATGATTCTAAGAATTTATCCATTTCTTCTAAGTTGTCCAATTTACTGACATACAGCCATTCATAATAGTCACTTATAATCCGTCATGTTTCTTTGGTATCCATTGTAACTTCTCCTCTTTCATTTCTGATTTTATTTATCTGAGTTGTCTTTTTTTTTGTTGTGAGTCTAGCTGAAGGTTTGTCAACTTTGTTTATCTTTTCAGAGAACCAGCTCTTAGTTTCATTGATCTTTTCTATTTTCTTTTTAGTCTCTATTTCATTTATTTCCACTCTGATTTTTATGTTTTCCTTCCTTCTGCTGACTTTGGGCTTTGTTTTTTCTCCTTTTTCTAGTTACTTTAGGTGTATGGTTACATTATTTGTGGTGTTTCTTGAGGTAGACCTGTATTTCTATAAACTGTCCTCTTAGTACTGATTTTGCAGTGTGTTTTCCTTAGATTTTCAGTATGTCATATTTTCATTTTCATTTCTCTTTAGGTACTTCTAAAATTTCTCCTTTAATTTTTTTCATTGATGCATTAGTTATTCAGTAGCATGTTGTTTAGTTTCCACATGTTTGTGATTTCTCCAGCTTTCTTCTTATAATTGATTTCTAGTTTCATACCATTGTGGTCAGAAAAGATGCTTGATATGATTTCAGTTTTCTTAACTTATTGAGACTTGTTTTGTGTCCCAGCGTATGGTTTATCCTTGAGAACATTCTGTGTGCACTTAAGTATGTGTATTCTGCAGATTTTGAATGGAATATTCTGTATACATACATCTATTATTAAGTCTCTTTGGTCTAGTGTTTCATTTAAGACCGACTTTTCCTCCTTCTCTTTCTGTCTAGATGATCTGTCTGTTGATGTACAGGGGGTGTTAAAGTTCTTATTCTGTTGCTGTCAGTTTCTCCCTTTAGATTTGTTAATAACGCTTTATATATATTTTGGTGCTATTTTGTTAGGTGCATATATATTAATAAATGTTATATCTTCTTGATGGGTTGTACCCTTTATCATTAGTATATAATGTCCATCCTTGCCTCTTATTAACTTTTTTGGTTTGAAGTCTGTTTTGTCTGATATGAGTATGGCTACACCTGCTTTCTTTTGGCTGCCATTTGCTTAGAGTATCATTTTACAGCCCTTTACTTTGCACTTATATTTATCTTTAGAACTGAGATGTGTCTCCTGGAGGCAGCATATAGTTGGGTCTTATTTTTTAATCCATCCAGCCACCCTGTGTCTTTTGACTGGTGAATTCAATCCATTTACATTTATTGTGATTTTTTTTTTTTTTTTGGCCACACCCTGCAGCATGTGTGATCTTAGTTGCCCAACCTGGGATCAAACCCATGCCCCCTGAGGTGGAAACATGGAGTCTTAACCACTGGACCACCAGGAAAGTCCCCATTTAGTGTGATTATTGATATATGAGGACTTGGTATTGACATTTTATCTTTTCTCTTCTGGTTTTTCTATAGTTCCATTGTTTCTTTTTCCTTGCATTTCTGTCTGCTGTTTCACTTTTGTGGTTTTCTATGATGTTTTTCTTAGTTTTCTCTTTTTTTATGTTTTGTGTCTCTGCACTAGATTTTTGTTTTGTTATCATGAGGTTTGTATAAATGTTTTAAATTTAAAATAGTCCTTTTTCTGCTGGTAGTATCTTATCCTAATATGCCTCTACAGGTTTCATCCTTTTCCTCTTCTCCTTTTATGTTTTTGTTGTCACAAGTATGTCTCAACACAAAATGCTGTGAGTTTGTTACCAAATTGACATAGCTGTAGTTATTTTTAGTGCTTTTTTTCCCACCCTTTATCCTTTGCTGTAATTAAGTGTTTACAACCTATTCTGATATACAGTTGCAATTTTCTGATTCTGTCTATTTATTACCTTACTCAATGTTTTGTGTACTTTTGCCTTTTCATTTCAGGTAGAAGAGCTGCTTTCAACATTTCTTGTTAGGCAGGTGTAGTGGTGATAAACTCCTCAACTTTTGTTTGTCTGGGAATGCCTTTATTTCTCCTTTCTGTCTGAATGATACCTTTGCTGTATAGAGTATTCTTGGCTGACAATTTTAATCTTTCAATATTCTGAGTTTGTCATTCAACTCTCTTCTGGCCTGTAGAGTTTCTGCTGAGAAATCTGCTGATAGCCTCATGTGGGTACCTTTGTAGGTTATTGTCTTCTTCTTTTTCTTTTTTTTTTTTTCCTGGCTGCCTGTAAAATTCTTTCTTTGTCATTGACTTTTGACAATTTTAATATAATGTGTCTTGGAGAAGGTCTTCCTGTTTTGAGATAAGTAGGTGTTCTATTAGCTTCATGGGCTCGTATATCTAGTTCCATTCCCAGATTTTAGAAGTTCTCAGCTATTATTTCCTTAAATAGGCTCTCTGTTCCCTTCTCCCTCTCTTTTCTTTCTGGGATACGCATTGTCCTTATGTTGCCTTTCTAATGGAGTTGGATAGTTCTTGTAGAGTTTCTGCAGTTAAAACAAAAATCTTAGCTCTCTCCTCTTTTACCTGAATCGTATCTCAATTTCTGTCTTTGAGTTCGCTAATTCTCTCTTCCATGTGTTCTACTCTATTTCCAATGCTTTCTAATGCCGTTCTTCATGTTGTTTATTGAGTTCTTCAGCTCCATAACTTCTGTTTGGTTCTTTTTTAGAGTTTCAATCTCTTTGATAAAGTATTCCTTCTGTTCATTAATTTTATTCCTTAGTTCACTGAACCGTCTTTTCTGTTTTCTTATATATAGCTTGTTGAGTTTCTTTCTGATACCTGTTTTGAATTCTCTGTCAGTTAGACCACAGTCTTCTGTGACTTTAGTTTCTGGAGAACTGTCATTTTCTTTTTCTGATACTGTGTTACTGTGCTTTTTCATAGTGCTTGGTGAGTTGTTCCTTTGCTGGCGCGTTTGAAATAGTGAATACCTTTCTTATTTAGGTAAACCTTTATTTACTTTGATTCTAACAGTTCAACAGGTTGGTAATTAGAGTCCTTTCTTTTGTTTTTCAGTAGGTGGCGCTATAGCATAAGTTATAGCTTAGTTTATCTTACCTGAGTGCTTCTGGCTATATTTGAGAATTGGCACTTTCCACCCTCCATCACCTTTGCCAGAGACGTCGTCAGTGCCCTCATCATCACTGCTTGTTCCTCTGGGGTTACTGGTGCCTTGAGATGGCGGGTGCCTCTGCCATATGTGGGGTTGCCTACAGCAGTTGTGGGCACTGCTGTAGCGGTGAGGGAAGGGGGAATGGGGAGAAGGAGCCAGGTTTGGGTGTGCTGTGGGGGAGAGCAGAGTCACAGGTACCACTATGGCCCTTCCAGTCTTTCTTAAGCCTGTTCTGTTCTGTCTTTTGCCCTCATCATTACCAGAATTGCTCTTGCTGAGGTCACTAAAGATCTCCTCTTGGTTAAATTTAGTAGTAAATTCTCAGGCATTCTTACGTCATTCATCAGTCACATTTGGCACAGTTGATCACTCTGTTCTTAATACACTGTCTTCACTTGACTTTCCAAGATACCACACTCTTTTGGTTTTACTTCTTCCTCACTGTTAGCTCCTTCATGGTTTCTTCTCTGCTTGATATGGAAAGGTTTGTTGTACATTATTGTGACAGTAGGTCACAAATGCTCCCCTACAGTCTATCTTCAGCACAGCAGCTAGAGTGATTATTTTAAAATCTAAATCAGATCTCACTCCACACCTCTACTTACCTCTGCAGTAGCTTCACATATCTCTCAGAGTAAAAGACAGAGTTTTTACTTAATGATGATATTCAAGGCCTTGCGTGATTTGCCTTCTTTGCCCCCTATTATCTCTGACCTCGTCTCCTACTACTCTTCCCCTCTCTTACTCCACTCCTGCTGCACTGTCAGGTATGCTGCCTTTGCAACAGCGATATTTTTGGCTGGAACACTCTTCCCTCAGAGGTATGGCATGGTTAAGTCACTTACTCTAGATTATAAGCTCTTTAGGCATCAGGGATCTTTGTCTCTTGTTCATTAATATATTCCAATAGCCTAAGATAGTGCCTGGCACTCAGTAGCCACCCAAAAAGCATTAATTGAGTGGATGAATGAACCAGTTAACAACTAATAATAATTAACAGTTTTATTTTCTAAAATGTTTACATGTTGGAAATAATATGAATGTGACATTCATGTTCCAATTCTGTGCAGAAATGGCTATTCATACAAGGTGGCGGTTGCACTGTCTCTTTTTCTTGGATGGTTAGGAGCAGATCGATTTTACCTTGGATACCCTGCCTTGGGTGAGTATGTTTCATTTAAAAAAAATTCTTGTGAAACTTGTAGGTTAATGTACCTACTCTTATAGATTAAATCTCTGCATACTATTAATAGTTACAAGTTCCATGTAGCTGGAGTTGAAAGGTCAGTGTTCTTCTGTGAGTATAGAGCTAGCAATTAGCTCTGTAGTTAACTTGGATAAGAAATTGACTTTTCTTGTGTTTTCTTCTTTATGAAAACACACACTCAAGATAGTGTAGTCACTAATTAGAACAGTAGACTTGAGCTGTCATTACTAGTGCTGGGCACACAGTGGATGTTCAATAAATGTTTTATGAATAAATGCATATCTTTTCCTATCCCTCCAAAAAATGTTTGCCTTCTACGTGAACCTCTATAAGTGTTGATTTTGGAGTAGAAACTACTTCTTTCAGGAGAAGTTGGTGTTGGAACTACAGCAGCCAGCATGAGCTGGTGTGGAGCCTGGTTATTACCCTTAGCATCCCTCCCCATACCTTCCTCCTAGCTATAATCTTTACATTTACCATAGTTGCTAATGCTTATGAAAACTACTTACATTTGATGATAGCTTTTGTTTAAATAATACTTTCACATGCCTGCCCTTATTTACACCTGAAAACTCTCTGAGTTTATCATCCAGTTTAAATCTTCTTTAACAGGTAGGGAAATTGTCACCAGAGAGGTTAAGGGATTTACTGACTCTGGAGGCCTTGCTTTATACTGTAACATATTTGTTGTTATCATCACTGTTTTATGGATAGCGAAATTGTCATGAGATTAAGAGATTTACCCAAGGACACTCAGCTAGTGACCTGACTTTGAACCCAAATATTCTGGCTCAAGAGATCATGCTTTATTTACTGTAGTACTTTGCTTCTGTATTAGCCCTTCACTGAGCAAATTTAAAGTTTCTGAATGCTCTGCTTTCTAGCTAGCAAAGCTAATCTTATTCTTTCCATGTTGCTACCCACCAGAGATCAAAGAGGAATTTTCACTGTGGGGTTGGTGGGAATTATATTTCTGTTAACCTTAACTGGAACTCAGTGTTATAAGGTCATAAATAGAAGTCATAGTTTAAAATACTATATACCTGAAATTTTTTCAGTTAACAAACATTTATTCAAAATTTACTTGCTGTTAAGTAAGTAATGAAGTTCTCTGGAAATAACGATGGAGATCACAGTTCATACTGGTTAGACGAAAATAAGTAATAAATGGTAGGCCAATTTGTGCTACAGCACTGTTACAGAAGTGTAGTAAAGTGCTATGAGAGCAGAGGAAAAAAGACTGATTTAGTCAGCCTTAGGATGTTAGGGAAAACTTGTTGGATGAGGGGACATTTGCACTAGGTTTTTAAGGATGAACAGATTAGAGATTTAGGGCATTACAGGGAACAGCATGTGCAAAAGCATAGGGTGTGAAAGAGCACATGTGCAGTGTTGAGAAAATGGTGGATAATTTAGCCTATGGTGTAGGAAGAAACGTGGCAGAACATGAAAAGTGATTGCAGAGGTAGCCAGTGGTCAGATTATAAAAGGCTTTGAGAAAGAATTCCCTGGTTGTTTAGTGGTTAGGATTCGGCGATTTCACTGTTGTGGGCCCGGGTTTGATCCCTGGTCAGGGAACTAAGATCCCACAAGCCGTGCAGTGTGGCCAAAAAAGAAAAAGACTTTGAGTGTCTTGTTCTGGAGTTTGGACTTTACCCTTTAAACATCAGAAGGCATAAAAGTTTTTAATCAGAGGAGTGTCATGGTCAGGTTTATATTTCAGGAAGATGATACTGGAGAAATTGTGGGAAATGGCTTTGAACGGAGAAAGACTGGTGGCAGAGGAAGCTAAAAAGAGATGGATGCAGTAGTCCTGGCCTGAGGGAAGGAGAAATACTATTTCTTTGAACAGTTTATTCTATGATGATTTTGAATAGTAAATATATTTTAAATATTTGGTTTAATGAGTGACTTTTTAGCTTCCTGTGATGAGTGTCAAATGAGCTGTCATGTCATATGGTCTAAGTTAATTTTTTTGACTTATTGCAGCACATAATAACATGTTGGTTTGTATATTATGATTTTCTTTTCCTACAAAATAAAACTCTAGGTTATAAAGCTCCATATAAAGCTCTGTATAGTGACTCTGGTTCGTGAATGTTAGTTCCCTGCCAGGAGCTCCCTTTCTCCAACCACTGCTACTCCAATCTATTAATTAATTTCAGTCAAAGAGAACCTTTCAGTTTGAGGCTGAGATTCTATAAATTTACAAATGTAATTTTTACATTTGACTTTATTTCTTAGTGTAAAAATCTTTAAGTAACTTTATTATTACAACAACCTTTGGATGTTCATTAATTCAAGTTTTTTGACTGTTGGCTTAAGATACAACTTTCTCAAGATTGTTAAGTCTGTCACTTCTCATTCATCTGCTTCTGAATTTTCTTCCATTCTCTTTATTCTGCTGGGTTTATGGCTTTAAAAATCCCTTTACTATCCTTTAATGGGGTCCTGGAGTGAGAGGAGTTAAGAGGACATGTCAAATACATTATTTTTAACTGAAAGTTCTTATATCTCTTCAAGCATTCAAATATTTTTATCCCTATCTTACTGACATTTAAGCTATATAAATGTGAAGGATTTTGATGTTTTATCAATTTAATCTAATATGTAAAATTACCGTGTTTGTAAACTTAAAACATTTAAATGTTTTTAATTAAGTTTTAATTTTTACTAAGAATCCAAGGTTAAAGAATTTTGGTATTCAATTAAAATGATTACTGCCATTTAAAAAAATTCTTAAATGGAGAATGCAATGTTGACTGGTATGAAAATAGTTACAGGCAGAGCCTAAAACTATTTTTCTTATAATCTTATTTAATCTTTCTTCATGGTAATTAAAAGCAGTGATAGTATATTTATAGATAACTTTTTTTTTTTAACATCTTTGTTGGAGTATAATTGCTTTACAATGGTGTGTTACTTTTCTGCTGTATAACAAAGTGAATCCGCTCTGTGCATACGTATATCCTCATATCCCCTCCCTCTTGTGTCTCCCTTCCACCCTCCCTATCCCACCACTCTAGGTGGTCACAAAGCACTGAGATGATCTCCGTGTGCTATGCAGCTGCTTCCCACTAGCTATCTGTTTTACATTTGGTAGTGTACATATGTCAGTGCTACTCTCTCACTTTGTCCCAGCTTACCCTTCCCCTTCCCCGTGTCCTCAAGTCCATTCTCTATGTCTGCATCTTTATTCCTGTCCTGACGCTAGGTTCTTCAGAACCATTTTTTTTTTTTTAGATTCCATATATATGTGTTAGCATACGGTATTTGTTTTTCTCTTTCTGACTTAACTCACTCTGTATGACAGACTCTAGGTCCATCCACCTCACTACAAATAACTCAATTTCTTTTATTTTTATGCTTGAGTAATTTTCCATTGTATATATGTGCCACATCTTCTTTATCCATTCATCTGTCGATGAACACTTAGGTTGCTTCCATGTCCTGTAAATAGTGCTACAGTGAACATTGTGGCACATGTCTCGTTTTGAATTGTGGTTTTCTCAGGGCATCTGCCCAGTAGTGGGATTGCTGAGTCAATGGTAGTTCTATTTTTAGTTTTTTAAGGAACCTCCATACTGTTCTTCGTAGTGGCTGTATCAATTTACATTCTCACCAACAGCGCAAGAGGGTTCCTTTTTCTCCACAACCTCTCCAGCATTTATTGTTTGTAGATTTTTTGGTGATGGCCATTCTGACCAGTGTGAGGTGATACCTCACTGTAGTTTTGATTTACATTTCTCTAATGATTAGTGATGTCGAGCATCTTTTCATGTGTTTGTTGGCAATCTGTATATCTTCTTTGGAGAAATGTCTATTTAGGTCTTCTGCCCATTTTTGGATTGGGTTGTTTGGTTTTTCCATATTCAGCTGCATGAGCTGCTTATATATTTTGGAGATTAATCCTTTGTCAGTTACATTGTTTGCAAATATTTTCTCCAATTCTGAGGGTTGTCTTTTCATCTTGTTTGTGGTTTCCTTTGCTGGGCAAAAGCTTTTAAGTTTCATTAGGCCCATTTGTTTATTTTTGTTTTTATTTCCATTTCTCTAGGGTGTGGGTCAAAAAAGATCTTGATGTGGGCTTCCCTGGTGGCACAGTGGTTGAGAGTCTGCCTGCCGATACAGGGGACATGGGTTCGTGACCCGGTCCGGGAAGATGCCGCAGAGCCGCTGGGCCCGTGAGCCATGGCTGCTGAGCCTGTGCGTCTGGAGCCTGTGCTCCACAACGGGAGAGGTCACAATAGTGAGAGGCCCGTGTACCGCAAAAAAAAAAAAAAAAAAAAAAAAAAGGTCTTGCTGTGATTTATGTCATAGAGTGTTCTTCCTATGTTTTCCTCTAAGAGTTTGATAGTGTCTGGCCTTACATTTAGGTCTTTAATCCATTTTGAGTTTATTTTTGTGTATGGTGTAAGGAAGTGTTCTAGTTTCATTCTTTTACATGTAGCTGTCCAGTTTTCCCAGTACTACTTATTGAAGGGGCTGTCTTTTCTCCATTGTATATTCTTGCCTCCTTTATCAAAGATAAGGTGACCATATGTGCATGGGATTATCTCTGGGTTTCTGTCCTGTTCCATTGATTTCTATTTCTGTTTTTGTGCCAGTACCATACTGTCTTGATTACTGTAGCTTTGTAGTATAGTCTGAAGTCAGGAAGCCTGATTCCTCCAGCTCCATTTTTCTTCCTCAAGATTGCTTTCGCTATTCGGGGTCTTTTGTGTTTCCATCCAAATTGTGAAATTTTTTGTTCTTGTTCTGTGAAAAATGCCAGTGGTAGTTTGATGGGGAGTGCATTGAATGTGTAGACTGCTTTGAGTAGTATAGTCATTTTCACAATGTTGATTCTTCCAATCCAAGAACATGGTAAATCTCTCCATCTGTTTGTATCATCTTTAATCTCTTTCATCAATGTCTTATAGTTTTCTGCATACAGGTCTTCTGTCTCCTTAGGT